GTATAATCAATTAAAATGAAATAGAAGAGCAAAGATGTTTTAATTTGAGGAAATACAGCCATAAATCCTTATGACATGTATTTTGTATTTCACAGATGAAGAAGCTCAGACTTACAAAGATCTCACAGCTCAGCATTGCAAAACCAGGATGCTAAAATCTATATTCGTAACCAATAAATTATACTACCCCTTAGGTCAACAACATGCAAAATGGAAAGAACCTCTGGAAAACAGTTACAACATACATGTATTCAAAATAATGAGCAAGCAAGTCTCACTGGCAGGCTAACCATGTTACATGATTTAACATCAATTTTTTGACACTTTTAGAGAATAAAGCCTGAAGGGAAATATTTTGTTAGAGATGCTCATCTCCTGATATAAGGAAATCTGAGCCTGGGATACAGTAGAAGCTGTGAGCCACGAGGCTCAGGTAAGTCAATCCTTTTGTTAGCATTCTATAAATCACCCAGTTTACTAAATCTGAGAATTATCTTTGGGGGATTCCTGGGCCTTGTCCATCATATTTAATTGCATTTGAAGCTCTGTGAATTCTGCCTCAGCAAGTGAGTCACTTTCACCTCTTATTTATTCATGGGACGTGATAGACTTCTTTTTGACATACTGAAAATAACCTTCTACATGTGCCCCTTCACCTCTACCCCCAAACAACCAGTTACCATTATGGCACAGTTAACACAAGTAGAACTTAAGAAATCATGTCGGCAATGATAACTTTGTGCCCAAGAATGTCTTGGTGTGTCTAACTGTAAACAATACAACCCAGCACTTTCATTTCTGGGACTGAACACCTTGCATCAATTCATCTTTAAAAGGACCCTGCATCGCAGCACAAATGGAATATGTGCGGTTCTCCAACAAGCCCATGCCTCTGGGGTTTCATTTTCTTTATTCTGTCTTGTCTTCTCTCACTCAGATTTATCAGATGAAATAGTTCAGGCTATCCTCCTTCTCCATGGTTGTCTCCAGTCAAATTCAACATTTCAAACTATCAGTGTGTGTGTGTGTGTTGAGGGTTGGTGTTCATGGTATTTTGATGCATGTTGGAATGATGTAAGAATCCTCCCTCTCCTGGTCCCTGTCCTGTTTTTCACTAATTTTATTTTCATCTATCTGTATATACAGAGGATTAACTCCATGTTAGGTAAAGAGTTCAATGCTTAGTAGGAGAAAGAAAAAGAAAAAAGAAAGGAAGAAAAAAGAAAAAAACAGCAGCAACAAAAAACTCTTCCTCAACAGTCCAGACAAGGGCTGTTCAAAGATCACCTTTGAGATGCAGTTACTGCATCCAAAGGTGATTCTTCTGCTTTTTTGTCCCCCTTCCTGTTTCCCTTCCTTCCTCCTCCTTCTTTTATTTTAGAAAATTAATTATCTTTAAAGAAGAACCCAAGAATTATACATCTTTTGCAAGCTCTTAGACATAACTATGACATAAGAATATTCTCCACTTAATACACTGAAAGGAAGTGATTCTTGAGAACAAGTTTTACTGTTCAATCTCATGAAACAACTCTTTCAGGACAGAGGTCCTGCGCAGGAAGTTAGTGCACAGTGACTCTTGTTTATTTAACAATTAACACTCTTATGTATTATCTCAGTGATCACCCAAGGCTCTTGACATGAGCTGACTAGGCTACTGAAGCCTTTTAGATACACTAAGTCGAAAGGGCCATAAGCAAAGTAGGATTTCTCTCTTCCCTTCAGAGAAAATTACACCTTCTTTATTTAGCGGCTGCTTCTTTCCACTGAGGTCTCACTCACAGAGGTCCTTTATGCAGGACATTTTTTTGCCAGAGTGTCTTGGTTTTCCATGCCTGAAATGCTCCGTTAGGTTTTTCAGCCAGACAAGAATGCCATAAGGGCTAATACTGAGGTCAGAGTGCTACTTAAAGCAATTGTTATTCTACGAGTCTGCTGTGTGGACTGATTCCCAAAACATTAATAAAATTTTAAGAGATGAGATTAGATATATAAGACTTTAATAAGCACATGACTTGCAAGACATCTGACCTGTTTTGTAATAAGGAAAATAAAATATGAAACAGAGTGAAAATTTCAACTGAAATAATATTCTGTATCACACTCATAAAACAAATATCCAAAGGGGATACTTTTGATTTGTGATAGCTATAATGTCTGCTGTGCTTATATATCACTGTGATACAGACAATTTTAGACATATCTCAGGAAGACTCCTTGAGTTTGAACTTACCAACTGCAACATAGTGCATTCTAAGTCTTTTCCAACTCTGTTGATATTTGGTTCTGCAAGTCCCTTCTAAGATTTAGAATTACATTTCAGATGAGTTTACACTATTTATACTCCAGGCTCACAATTATGAATCTCATATTTTCCTTGCCACTGCAGAAATATTAGGGACCTTTAAAAATCAGCTGAAATGTCAATATTCTTTGAATGAAGTTGACCTACCTTCTAAGTGATACCTATTGGTTTGTGATTGTACAATCTATTTCTTTAAGTGAAGAAAATAAGGAAAGAAAGAGGAAATCCACTAAAGTGACTCAGAAGTTAACAAATAAAGGATGGGTGTGTTTATGTAAAGTCAGAATCGGAGGCTTTTTTATTTGGGATTCCTGAATGTAAATCTTTCGGCCAATCATGCAGATCCATAAGTGAATAAAATAGGAGAATAGAGGAAACTTTTTATTTTTCTTATTTTTTAATCGAAATCTATTCTATAAGCCTTATTTCAAGTAGTATAAAGGGTTCACTTCTGCTCTTCCCAGAGTGAAAACATAGTATAGGGTCAAGTTGACATCAAACATAGGAAGCCAGAGGACTTGGGAACTGTTTCATGCTTAGCAGTATCTCCCTCACTTTTTGTGAACAGTGATGATATTAAAAGGAACTGTTTGTACTAATAGAGTGCTGAAGACCAGTCAATGACAGCTGAAAGACTGGAACTGATATGAAGCTCGGTATTACATTTCCAATGTCCCTCGTCCTTTGGCACTGTATGGAAACAACATTCAAAATTGCCTGTATTTTTTTCCACTGCAGTTAGCAAAATCCTGTACTTGTTTTGCCCTGACAATCTGGCAGAGCAGGGCTAGTTTAAATTCTTCTTGCCTCTCTTTCTACACACAACTGAACACAGATAATCTTTATCCCTTTGACATGACTTTAAGAAAAATTTCCTTCTTGATATCTTTATACAGAGAATTTGAGTAACATGGAGCATAATTGCAATTCATTCACAAATAATTCTCTTCTTAGATGCGGACTTTTGGTATTTAATGTGTATTGAGTTCCTTTTTCTTTTCGCTGATGATAATATAAATTGATACTACATCAAACAAATCTCATTGATAAGTCAATCTCAAAGCAGGAAATCCTATTAAAGGGACATCTTACTGAAGGACTCTGCTGTATTAGAGGTACATATACATAGTAAGATTAATTCTCAAATGCTGTTCTTAATAGCATCCAAGGAAGATTATGGGCCATGGATATTGAACATGATACCATTTATTTCACATCTAAGGTGATTTTCAGAGGAAAATGAATTCAACATGTCTCCAACTCAGTTGTGAAAATATATTCAGCTGGAGTAGGAATGGGGAAGACACAAACATCAAGGAACCCTTTAGAAAAGAAGCTATACTTGGCTACACCATGTAAAAAGAGGGCTGATGAACACATCCAAAGTGGTGCCAGAAGTCACTGTTTGGGCAGTATTGAAGAGAACGGATGCTGGAGACGATGATAGGAAACACAGAAGGCAGAGGGCTCTAAAGCTGACCCGACAGAGGCGTGAGGCAGCAAAAGGGAGCTTCAGGAACGGAGCTCCTGCAAAGCAGCATGTTGCCCCTCTACCAGCGCTTCGTGTCATTCTGCATGTGTCCTAATGTCTGAGCACTAACCCTGACCTTCACATCAATAAACCCACTTTCGTATGAAAAAGAAACTGGCTAGTTGCTTTATTAAAGGCAACACTGGTACACAATTTTATGTTAGATTTTCACGTGCAATATTACTTAATTGAGTAAAGACCAATATAGATGTCATAATAGAAGTTCAGGAGTTGAAATAGTCATTGTGGGGACTGTAACATGGACCAGTAAGTATACCATGTCCAGAACAATACCTAGTGTGCATTAAATCAATTCATGCTAACTATGTATTTTCATTATTCACATTTGTCTGGGAAACAAAGACAAAAATCAGTTATTCACATTAATAAGGGCGCTCCAGAATAACGCGTGTCAGACATAATAAAACATGATAAATTGCTGCAAATGTTTTGGGAATGGGTTTTGACTGACAGAAACGTCTATTTCCTATACTTTCGTTTTTAGAGCTGTGAAGGACTGAAAGTATAGCCACAGGGACATTTTATAAGGGTAAACAACATCTCAACTCTAAAAATATTATGTAAACTTTAGTAACTAATCAAAGTCAAATTATATACATAAGTTAGATGTTAAATTTATTTCATTATTTTATCAGATATTACACAAATAAAATAAAAACAGAAGCAATTTTAATTTAAGAGATTATTTCATAGGGTATGACATACACACACACTTATATGGAGTACATACCTATTTATTTAAAACTGTCAGTAATAATTGAGCAGTTTCACATCTAATCAAACTACTTTATCATTCAAAATTTAATTACAAATAATTTACCTTCTCCAAAATGAAAAGAATTGATCTAAAGCATGCACTCAGAGACATTTATAAAAGGCATTGTTTTAGATTTCTTATATGTGCTAAGAACATAGGGATGAGGCACCCATGAGTTATAACCAAAATACATAAAAACCTACCTGAAAAATTATTTGCTGCAACAATTCAGGCTAAGGGGGAAAATCACCCTAACAATATAATTATCGTTCAGTATATGTATAAAAGCAAACTTACAGCATATTTAATGTCAAACTTTATCACAAAGCATTTTACAAGTGGGACAATTTTATAAATAATTTTATAAATAAATTGTCATCACTTACCTCTCTTAACATGTCTGCTGGTACTCGTGGACTTCCCCGATGGACATGGGCAATGTCCTTCGCATCTGACTGAGATCTGTTTCCCTAAGACACACGCCTGATATTCTAGTTTGCACTAAAGAAAAAGAGAATAAAAAAGTAGTAATTAAAATACACTTAGTCATAGCATTAGAATGCCAGGAAGTTATTTTGCATACAGCTTGAACATTTTTTTTGCTGGATAATATATTCCAATACTAAGGTGTCATTTTACACACTCACTATCTAGTGCTCTATTGAGGAGACAGTTGGCTTCAGTGTCATTTTGGTGAGTGTTCATGGAGAAATGTAATAGTCTCAAAATTTATTTCTAACGTGTCAGCTCTGTTATATAATCAGTACAAATTTTCAGAAGCAAACGTACAGAAGGTTGACACACAGTTGGATAGTACAAAGGATCTTCAAATGTCCATCAAAAATGCACACTATAGGGGCTAGCACTGTGATGCAGAGGGTTAGCCCCCTGGCCTAAGGTGCTGGCATCCCATATGGGCGCCGGTTCTAGTCCTAGCTGCTCCTCTTCCGATCCAGTCTCTGCTATGGCCTGGGAAAGCAGTGGAAGAGGGCCCGAGTCCTTGGGCCCCTGCACCCGTGTGGGAGACCCGGAGGAAGCTCCTGGCTCCTGGCTTGGGATCAGCACAGCTTCTTCGGCCGTTGTGGCCAACTGGGGAGTCAACCATCAGATGGAAGACCTTTCCCTCTCTCTGCTTCTCCTTCTCTCTCTGTGTAACTCTTTCAAGTAAAACAAATAAAAAAAGAAAAAAGAAAATACATACTATAAAAAACTATGGATAGATTTCCATTTTTTGCACCACAATAGACCTATATTTTGACTCAATTTTATGCACAATTTGCAAGCACCCTTGTACCACTCTTGAGCCCTCCTTTAAGTGCATTCTTGGGTTTTAGCTGCTTGAGCAGCATGATTTATCTCTCTCAGGGGGCTCTAAGTTTTGAAGACAGAAACTATGCATCAGTGTTTGGCCAGTGACTTGTACATCATCAGTGGTTCATCATCTCACACTAGGCAAGAGGTTCTAAAGTATGTACTTACAAATTGACATCATCTATGTTTACCTGTGGTTTCTAGCAAAGACACAATACTCTTTCCCCCATACACTTCTGTATGAAATAAATACGTAAAACCTTTCTATGAGTAAAGAACTCAGATTTATGTTATACTCTGTGCTTGTATACGTTTCATATATATTTTTGTTAAGATGATCTTTTTAGTGCCTCTCTAATCCTCACATACAAATGCTTTTTAATATGAGCTCCCAATAATTCTCACAAGGGGACAAATGTGTAGTCATAACACAATAGTTTAACACAAGATTGTTTCTATAAGGTTTAGAGGTTGCCTGCCTTGTTTCATTACAAATATACAGCATAGCATATTTCTCTTCAGTGCTTGTACGGACATAGAAATAGAAAGAATTCAGAATCATCTATGATTCTATGACACATGTGACAGGAAAGGACAATGGGTAAGGAACAAATAGTCCCTCCTGAGTTTTAATCTTATGATGATCATTTCCTAAATGTCAAATTTATGGTTACCTTCCCAAAACTCCGTCTCAGTTTTTATATATAATAATATGTATAATACATAATTTCTAGTAAAATCACGCAGTTTTTTTCCCATGTGGAATAGCTATCACATAAACCAAGTTCTCCACAAAAGTCAGTAAAAGGTGAATGGAATTAAAGCAAAACAATAAAAAATTATACCCATAATTTTTTTCCAGTTAAATTTTGTTTTGGTTTGGCTTAGTTTCCCTTATAAACGTGACTGTAAAAGTTTAAGCCTGGGTATCTTTTAATTTACTGTTAAGATAATATTTTCTAACTGCACATTTGACATGATTTTTAAAAATGTGAACCTACTTCATTTTTAAAAAGCAATAATTATCTCCCTACTCTAAAAGAAATAGATCTTGCTAATTCTGAAGTAATATGATTTCTTTAGTGGCTACTTCTATAATTTACTCAGAGCAAATTATTTTAAAATTAAATAGGGCAGACGTCCTGGCTCCAATCGACAAATGCATCAGTGACTAATTTAATTCAGCTTCAGCTGATACCAAGAAGTACCAAGTGCACCCAGTGACTAATCAGATTATTCATGTCTCCACAACATTTCATCTTTCCTTGTCCAATAACTCTTCAGTGGACAACAAAACTATGACTGTAAGAAATAATTAAAAATAAAGCATCCTGAATATGCTTGCAGTGGCTCCTTTGGAGGAACAAACTCTTTTAAATGTAACTGAATATTTCAATAATTGAAAAAGAGGTTTTGCCATTCAAAATCACAATGAATTTAGAGTGTAATTAAACATGCCAATATCTAATCAGAAGAAGAAATAAATGGTTCAGCAATTATGAGTACTTTAATGAAAGCCAAGTGAGCTATATGAAACTTTGTGACAGCAAATTCAATATTCCTTACAGTAATTTCTGTTAACTTAATATTTCAGGATGCTATATATAGTCATATGAAATTCTGATTCATGACATAATTTAAGAAAGTTCAAGAGCAGTTGTTAAGTGGTATACAAATAAACCCGTCAATATTAATTAGAGTTAATGTTGTATTTTACCATTTGGAAATGCATTAGCTCCCTTCAAAGATGTATTATGACACACTCATTTACATTTTAAATGTAGTTTACTGTACAGTGATTTTTAAAAACATAAAGGTCTTGCTAAGAATTGAAAGAATAACAAACTTCCAGAGCCATTAGTTTATTAAAAAGAGGAACCATGTATCTGCAAGTTCAAAAGCTGGTGAATCATTTTTCTTATTGCTAGACACTAAGAAATTAAAAGAACATAGTATTTAGGAAAATTTCATTGAATTTTCATAAAAAATACCTCACCATGGCTAACTTTCTTTGGCATAATTATAATTTAAAAATTTAAAGCCGTCTTTAAGATTTGCATGATGTGATTAAATTATAGCTTTGCAAATGTGACTTTACAGATGAAACATTTTTCTTTCAGAATAAGTCTACTGAAGACCTTATTTCTCTATGCATTTATTTGAGGTGTAGCAGAATCAATTGAACAGTAAATACCCCCTGTGTGCATAATCACATGAACTTAGTTTACTGTGCTGAAAACTACTTATTTTTATTTAGTTATGAATTGATTTTAGAAAAAAACTTAAAGAATTATATCTAAAACTTATTAAAATACTAAAATGCTGCTTTCCAACTTTTTTAGCTACACATACTGATTGCATTTCTAATTAATAATGTTCAATTTACTTAATTATCACAAAGCTGAAATATTTATAAAGGTATAAGTGAACTAAAATATCACATAAAGGGCATCCTCATTAGTCTATAATCACCAAAAAATGCAAATAATGTAGAGAAAGACATGATTAATGCATCCAAAATTATCCAAGACTCTGAATAGTGAGAAAATTTAACTTCAGAATGATTTTGGGCTGGCGCCGTGGCTCACTAGGCTAATCCTCCGCCTTGCGGCGTCGGCACACTGGGTTCTAGTCCCGGTTGGGGCGCCGGATTCTGTCCCGGTTGCCCCTCTTCCAGGCCAGCTCTCTGCTGTGGCCCGGGAGTGCAGTGGAGGATGGCCCAGGTGCTTGGGCCCTGCACCCCATGGGAGACCAGGAGAAGCACCTGGCTCCTGGCTCCTGCCATCGGATCAGCACGGTGCGCCAGCCACGGCGGCCATTGGAGGGTGAACCAACGGCAAAGGAAGACCTTTCTCTCTGTCTCTCTCTCTCACTGTCCACTCTGCCTGTCAAAAAAATAAAAATAAAAAAAAAGAATGATTTTGATACCAGTCATGGAAACCTCTTTTATAATCACTTGTTTAATAACAGAATCAAAAAGAAAAAGGGTGATATGAGAGATCCAGGTCAATTAAACACATTGGCACAGGCTGTTGACCACAGCTTTGAAGATGATGCCATGCAGTCACCATGGCTGTGGTCGATGGTTTCCATCAAAGGCTCTCTCAACTGGGGACAATTTTCCTCCTCTACCCATGGCATTTGGAGACATTTCTGTTTGTCATAACTAGGGGGTGGAGTGGTTGTTGCTGATATCAACTAGTTAGAGACCAAACATGCCACTGCATACTTTACAATGCACAATGAAAGAATTATCTGGCACCAAATGTCAACCATGCCAAGATGCAAGGGCCGGCGCCTTGGCCTAGTGGATAAAGCTGCTGCCAGCAATGTAAGTATTCCGTTTGAGCTCCAGTTCCAGTCCTGGCTGCTCCACTTCCAATTCAGTTTCCTGCTAATGTGCCTGGGAAACTACTAGAAAATGGCCTGAGTCTTGTGAGAGACCTGGAAGAAGCTCTGGGCTCCTGGCTTCAGACCTGCCCAACTCCAGCCATTGCAGTCATTTTGGGACTGACCCTGTGGGTGAAAGATCTCTCTCTCTTCATCTCTCCCTCTCTCTATGTAAACTCTGCCTTTCAAATAAATAAAATAATAATAATAATAATAACAAAATAAAAAAAGTGCTGGCCGGCGCCACGGCTCAGTAGGCTAATCCTCCGCCTTGCAGTGCCAGCACACCGGGTCCTAGTCCCGGTTGGGGTGCTGGATTCTGTCCCGGTTGCCCCTCTTCCAGGCCAGCTCTCTGCTGTGGCCCGGGAGGGCAGTGGAGGATGGGCCAAATACTTGGGCCCTGCACCCTATGGGAGACCAGGAGAAGTACCTGGCTCCTGCCATCGGATCAGCGCGGTGCGCCGGCCGCGGTGGCCATTGGAGGGTGAACCAATGGCAAAGGAAGACCTTTCTCTCTGTCTCTCTCTCTCACTGTCCACTCTGCCTGTCAAAAAAAAATAAATAAATAAATAAAAAATAAAAAGTAAAAAAAACAGTGCCAAGACTTAGAAACCCTAAGTAGGCATCCATCTACTGAAATACTGAAAGACAACGAAAGAATTGACTAAACTCTCAAGAGTGCCTTCATATTTCCCTTAGAAAATTCTTGAGTAGTCACTAAAGTAAACCACATATACTAAAAACAACACAAAAAGCAAGTGAGCTAAAACAAAATGCACAATTGACAATGGCTGGCTTTC